AGACAAAATAGGGAAAAGGACGAAAAATGAATAGTGTCGAAAAATGAAAAATGTGGAAATGACGCGGTCCTTTAAGGAAGTTGTCAATCTAAAGGAAAGAGTCTCAAAAACCATTTTCGAGCACTAGAGACAATACTAAGTGACGAGAAACCGAACTTAGAAAAGAATTTTCAACGAAAAAAATTCATCCGTAAAATTCTAAGAAAAAATGAAAGTAAGGAAATAACCAGGTCATTACAATATCTTAATTATTATCACTATTTCATACTAGAACCCACCTTGCAATTGATAACATGAACTTCTAGCTAGCACCAACTTTTAATATAAATTCATTATACAATATTTTGATAAGCTGTACCTTTTAATGGAAACCTCTCATTTCTCTTGAAAACTCCTAACTTTTTTATTATCAAGAAAAATAGAAAATTTTCATTAAGAGGGATATCCTGAAATATTGTATACTTTCTCCATATTTCCATACATGAACTCAAATTAGTGGAATGTGAGTGGAGTTCTTGCAACAAACAAGGAATTCAACATGAAACCAATGAAGTGGCCAAGAAAATAGCTAGTGGAGAGTGAGTTCATGGAAGCCAGGTACAAGTTTGAAGAAATTGTGCCGCCAGGAGTGCACTTAGAACAGCCAACATTTACTTGAAGATGGAATTTATTCCATATATATGATCATCCACAGTATATACCATATAAGGGTTTTGTCAGCCATATTCATATGAGACATAAGCTAGCAAAGTAATTCTATGATGGTAATGGAAAATCTTTGGCTCAACTAGGGTCATAATTCTGGAATTTGTATTGGAATCAAGATTGAGAAAGTGAAAGTTTTCCAATCACTGACTCAAAACTCATTGTCGAATCCTATTCCAGTACTGAATTCGAAGGTACTTAAAGAGAACAGACCAGTCTGATGCATATATGTGTGAAAATTTAGAGAGTTGGCCAATAGGCCAATCAAACTGTTAAATACACAGCATAGCATGGAGGCAATCCAAAAGGGATTAACAACCTAACCGCTATCTACTAGTCACCTTTTTTTCCCTATCAGTTCAAGCAATAGTATATACACCCACATCCAATATTGCCGGGGCAAGTGCAAAAAACACCTCTCAATTATATTTATAGTGCATATCACACCCTTCACGTGCAAAAAACACCCATCAAGTATCAATTTGGTGCAATGAGGTCCCCCTGACACATTTAAAATTTAAATTGACCAAATTACCTTTATTAAATAATTTTATAAAAATGTAAAATAATTTATTTATTTATTTATTTATTTTTGTAAAAAGACCAAAATGGAGATTAAACATTATTCTGCAAAATAATATAGAGACGGTTGTAGAGGGGAGAGCCTTAATCAAAGGTATAGAGGGCAGGGAAGAGATTGACGGTTGTTTATAATCACCTTCCTCTCTCCTCTTCACCTACTCCCATCGTCACCTTCTCCAGCCGCCACCATCTCTACTCACTACCGCCACCACCATACCTCTGCTCTGCTCTCCTCTCATCTCCTTTCTCATCTCTCAACAAGAAATCACATATACATAATACATTTATATATATATATATATATATATATATATAATACCAAAAACATAATTTATCTCTCTTCTGGTTAGAAACCCATTTTGGGTTTGTTCATAAGCACCTACCACAGGAGGGGGCACCAACTACATTGGACAATCTGTAAGGACCAAATTAGATTTCACAATTGATTGGGTGGGGTTAGGCTTACTAGTTATGGATTTTAACTTCCACAATTGATTTACACACTCTCCTGAAATATATATATATATATATATATATATATATATATATATATATATATATAGACACTATCCCTTTCTAAATATATGCACACGCAAAATTACATTAATATATATATGGGGTAAGTGCTAAAAACACCCCTCAAGTATACTCTGGGAAGCACTTTTACCCCTTATTTGAAAAAGTGTGCAATAAATACCCCTAATCTTTTGAAATTGTGCAAAATAACCCCTCTGTCAAGAATATGATATAAATTATTACTGTCATACCCATTTTACCCTTTTACTCTTCCGAAAATGCCCATTAAGCTGTGTCATTTTACAATTTACCTTCACCCCTAGTCCAACTCGGACAAGTTAGCCATGGCCGCAGAATTCAGCTTTGACCCATCTCCACGTCATCACTCTTTCCCCTCTTAACACAAAAATTGCAATGGCGTCGAGGTTGTCATCATCGACGGAGATAAAAGTCGTTAATAAAAGGAAAGAGAAATGCTGAGATGTCGGTGTGGTAGCGGCGACGTTTGTTCTATGGCCAATATTTATTTGTTTGTGGGTGAATCTCAAATGAGGAGTGGTGGTGGAGGCTGAAATGGGCAAGGGTGCATGCGATCGGTGTTTCGGGAGGGGAAATCCGCCGTGCTTGAGGACGGGGTGGCCACTATTGGGTTGGATGGCAGGGCAGACGGTGTAGGGGAAGTTAGTGAGATGGAGAAGTGATGGTCGACCTTCAAAAGGTGGTTGTCATCGGCGGCGGCGGGAGCCGCTGTCGTATTTCCCTCGATATTTGTAGAGTGTAGCTTCTGGCCGGCACCACCTTCGCCAGAAGATTCGAGAACGCTTCGTTGGTAGGGACACTTGGTAATTCCGAAACCACCTTCACGTTATTTGGGTTTAAATTAATTTTTTGTGGGTTTACGTTCAAATGGGGACTCATCAGGAAACATGGGGTCGAGGGGCTTCGACGTGAACCTGAAGCCGCCGCAGTTGCGGCGTCATCTCCGAACAGTGCGGCGTCATAGTTTCAAATGCATTTGTGCATTTACAAAGGCAGTGGGTCAGATGGTGGAAACATGAGGGACGACGGCGTGAAATGGCGTAGTTGACAAGGATGAGAACGATCTGGCTCGAAAAAAACTCCGGTGACCGCGACATCCCGCCGAATGATGAACGACCACGCAGTTCGCCTCCGATCATTATTTCACCCGATTTTCTCGCCAGATTCGCACTCCATCTCATCACCGCTTCAAACACCAAATCGGGTGAAGTATGTATCTGTATTAAAACTTAAAAGCTAGATTAATCAGAGCCATTTGATTTTGTTCTTTGTTCATTGTTGAACTAATTCAAAGTTATGTCTAGTCTGGGTCTGTTTGAAGAGTCTTGTTCCTACAAAAAAAGTGTTCAAACTGCAATCTGTGAAGTCCCCGGAGTTTCATGTTGATCGTGAAACTGAAGCCCAAGAACCGAACTGAGTTTCGCAGAATCCTTTTTGGTCTTTTTACAAATTTTTGTATTTTTATATATTTTATAAAATTGCTGACTATGGGTATTTTAGTCAAGTTTGGTTTTAAATTTCCAAGAGAGACTTAATTGCACCAAATTGAAACTTGAGGCGTGTTTTTTGCACAGGAAGGGTGTGATATCCACTATAAGCATACTTGATGGGTGTTTTTTACACTTGACCTATATATATATATATATATATATATATATAATACCAAAAACATAATTCTCTCTTCTTGGTAGAAACCCATTTTGGGTCTGTTCATGAGCACTTGCCATGGGAAGGGGCAACAACTACCTTGGACAATTTGCAAGAACCAAATTAGTTGTCATTAGTGACACCGTGGGCTGGTCAACAAAGGTTGCTATGCGATTGACTGCCAGAGAACAATAGCAGACAAAGAGTTCTGTACATAAGGGGCTGTTAGGCGCTAAAATAAGAAGGGGTTAGAAGGTGTTCAATATGGGTTTGGGTAAAAAATGTGGTAGTAGATGAGGCGATGATGCAAGAGATGGGGTTACCGTTGTGGGGTGGGGAGTAAGGTTTGGTAGGTGTATTTTTGGAAGAGCAAAAAGGTAAAATAGATTTTACATTAATTGAGGGGTGTTTTCGCACAAATTGAAAAAAATAGGGGTGTTTTTTTCACACCTTTTAAATAAGTGTAAAAGTGCTACGAAAGGTATAGTTCAGGGGTGTTTTCTGTACTTTTCTCTATATAATATGTAGTAGGGTTCAAATACCCAATCACAAAAAATCATACCATGTAAACTAATATTCATTGATTTCTTAAGAAAATGTTTCATATGCAGAGAACTTGATAGAAATCTCACTGAATGTATAAATAATATAGTACATTTTTTCTTTTATCTTTTTCTTTTTCCTTTTTTCAATGAAGATTTTGAAGATACTAAAATGTTTGTCCTTTTTGTAATTGCAAGTTATGGTTAGACTTACTCATAAGCTCCATGTATGTCCGTCTTATACAGATCAAGAGAGAGATTAATTGCTCTTATATGCATTTGCGACACTTCAGATATATACGCTTGTTTATTAATGAACCCCTCTCAACAAAATTTCTAAGTCCATCACTAACAATATATAGAACCGTCATTAAAATTGCAGTTTTGAGTTCTCACTCTACGTCCCAAGTGAGATAATGCAAAGTAAATTAGGTCCAGTGTAAGAACTGGAACTAAAATCTGAACTTTTAACTACCGTACGTTAAGTGGTGTAAAACACCAATTTGGCTACAATCACGAGATCAGAGTCTGCCTCATGTGTCACCATCAGTCTACCACAACCCAACAAATTTGAGCTTCACACTTACGTTGGTGAGTAAACCACTTCAAAAATGAATGGACGAGAATAACCTACCAAAAAAACAATAATAATAATATATCAGAATACCAAAAACCTAATGGGATGGTTGGGTGGAATAATTGCTGGACGAAATCATTCATTAATCGAACCTTATTCTTTGCATTGATGACCAGAACAAGCACACAAAAAATAAAATAAATAAATAAAAGGTTCCATAAGTGAAAACAACACCCTGACTTTTCCAAACCCCCCACCAATACTTGTGTCACCTTTTAGGATTCCACGGTATTGAAACCATATGGACCCACCAATTCAATCTATGAAAATGTAGTATTGCATGCATATAAATAGCTCTGCCCTTTGCATTCATCAATATGTTACACCTGAAAAATTGTCCAAAACCCTAAACTAAGAAAGATATACAGACCCTTTCTATATATTTATATAGAGACAACATATAATTAAGAATGATAGAGTGGGGAGATGTTTACAAGGTGGTGGTAGCCATGACACCACTCTATGTAGCTCTATTTTTAGGTTATGGTTCAGTGAAATGGTGGCATTTATTCACACCAGAACAGTGCGACGCGATAAATCGCTTAGCTTGCTATTTCACCCTCCCTCTCTTCACCTTTGATTTCACATCTCATGTTGATCCCTTTGCAATGAATTATCCATTCATTGGTGCAGATGTCATCTCCAAATGCATTATTGTGTTAGTGATTGCCTTTTGGGCTAAGTGTAGTAGCAAGGGAAGCTATGTCTGGTCTATAACAAGCTGTTCACTCTCTACTCTAAGTAATACTTTGATTTTAGGTGTGCCCCTCTTGCAGGCCATGTATGGTCAGATGGGTGAAGACCTCGTTCTCCAATCATCGGTCTTGCAGTCTATCGTGTGGCTGACGATACTATTGTTTGTGTTGGAGTTCAGAAGGACCGGGGCGGACTTTGCTTCAAATACAACTACCAGGGATTCGATTGATCTCTCTGGCGAACCGGGGAAAGATTTGGAAGGTGATGAGCACATTGTGGTGAGCAGTACTCGACCTTCTTTCTGGCATCTGATGAAGGTGGTTTGGAAGAAGCTGGTTAAGAACCCTAATTTATATGCTTGTGTTCTTGGTCTTGCTTGGGCTTTCCCATCCAGAAGGTATGTAGAAAATGCATGCATGCTTTTTATTTGACGAACACTAGCACGTGATATTCTCTTCTTATTATTCAGAAAGTCCCATGTGAATTGGTATCATCCCACCAGCGGAAAATATTCCCTATCAATTAATTATATCTCGTCGTGTTTTATTTTAGAGGGTCATATCGTTAATATTTAATAAATTAGTAATATCATGTCATTAATACAATATGAGTAATAAAATATAGCCAATTGGTTAGAGAGCATATTATTTTATAAGGTTGATACAAGTATATATTACCGAACAATTTCTGACATTGGAGAATATATTTAGTGTGTCCGATGCACCAAGACATCAAAGCCGTATATTCTTGCGTGTGTCTACACAGACGGCTCTGATGTGCTAGTGCACTGGGCACACCGAATATTACCTTCGCCTGACATTTTTTTTTTTTATGAATGGCAGTGGTGGGACCCACTAGTGAGGCCCACCTTTTTTTGTGAGTGTGGTGCACCATGCACGGGCTCACGCTCCAGCGGTACTGTCTTGGTGGTTTAAGACTTGGTTCTCGGGTGTACATGTGTATTTCTTGAAATTAAGAAAATTATAAAAGGAAGAAGAAAAAGCAGCTTAAATCAATTTTTATACTTGTTACAATTACATTATATAGGACACATCAATGTGGGTAAGAGAGGATATTGCTTGATAGGGTTGGGGCAAGTATTATCCTAAGAACTACTGACGTTGGCGTTTTTATCTTATGGATTCGTTAAGGTGGCATTTAAAGATGCCAAACATCATTGAAGGGTCGATATTGATCATGTCAAAAGCTGGAACAGGCACTGCCATGTTTAGTCTTGGTGAGCTGTACTACCATCCATATATATATAAAACATGCACAGCATGAAAGAGTGTTATCTTTCTAAATGCTTGAACAAAGTTTTCATTTGATTAATTGAGTAATGCTATCCAAACAGAAAAATTAAGCCATTAAGTATAATAATTATTTATTTATTTATTTATTCATTTTTTTTTTTATGATTTGCTAACTTGTTTATATATATATATATATATTTGAGGATTTGTCTATATCTATGCAGGACTATTCATGGCATTGCAAAAGAAAGTGATTGCTTGTGGTGCTAGTCTAACTGTGTTTGGAATGGTTTTGAGGTTTGTTGCTGGACCTCTGGCAATGGCAATAGGTGCTATCATCGTAGGTTTGCGAGGAGATGTCTTAAAGGTTGCGATCATTCAGGTGATTAATTATTTCCTTGATTAGAAATAGCCAAACATGCCAAGGCAAAAAGGGCTGTACTATTTGGATTTATGAGCTACATAGAGTCTACAATTTTTTAATCTCGAAGTTGTTACCATCATGCCATATATGCATGTTTAAAATGTGTATATAAATACAATACATGAGTGGTGGTGTATATACACAGTAACACACATATATGATTAGTTGCAATAATATCATTATCTCTAGATATTATAAAAAAAAAAATTTTTTTTTTTTTTTTTGTTGATTTTTATTTTCCTATGTTGCAGGCAGCATTGCCGCAATCCGTCTCCTCCTTCATATTCGCTAAAGAATATGGATTGCATGCAGAAGTCATTAGCACTGCGTGAGTTATAATTTACTAGGTTTTTTTTTTTTTTTTTTAAAAAAAATATTTGTTCTTTAAAAGAAAAAAGATAATAAGAAATAAAAAGGAAAACAAAAACAGTTCCGAAATTCATTTTGCTGAAATCTGATAAAAATTAAACTTTGAAAACATGATTAAAGAAAACACTTCTCCAAAAATTTTAGAATTGTTTTTGCATAATAGAACCATCTTGAATTCTGATATTAACATCTCAAATTACCTAGTTTTGTTCCTGAAAATAGTACAGAAAATTAAAGTAAGAGATATTATAAAATTTTCAATCAAATATTCAAACTGACTAATTGATTTTCTTTTCAATTTCAGCGTAATCTTTGGCACAATGGTATCACTTCCGGTTTTAATCGCTTATTTTGCAGTTCTAGAACTTTTACCTTGATTCTTCCTTTATTAAACTCTCCAGATAGGGATACAGAGAGTTTTGTTATACCTATTTTCTTGTATCCAAGATTTAGTCAACTGTATTGTTTTACCCTAAGCTAGAGGGAGTACTTCAAGACTGTTTGAAATGTCCACTGTACAAACGTGCGCACAAGGGCTCGCTACATCATTTACAAACTAGTCTCTCCTTCCAATTTTAATTGTCCATCTTTTTATTTTTTATTGTCCTACAATAATTATCTTATTTCAAATGTCAATGATTATATCATTTGAACTAATACCCATTAGTAATTTAAAATCCTAATTATAGAAAACATCATAATCAATTCTTTGATTCAGGGCTTTGTGGTCTTTATAAATTACTTTCATAGCAATGTCACGAGCCCATTTTAGCTCTTCAATGGGTCCAGCTATTTGCTGTTCTTGTGATTGAGTGAATAGGGCGCGCAGGTTGAGATGGAACATGGAGCAACTAACATGAGTTTTGAATAGGTAGGGGTGATTTGCATGCCTTTAGTGGTGCTTTCTGAGTTGAGGCTTGCTTAGTCAGCTTCTTTCTCTTGAAATTATAGTGACTCCCCAACTTACTGTATTTTAATTCGTTTTTGTTTTTTTTTTTTTTTTTTTTGGCCCCTTTTCCCGGTAGATAAACTGTATTAATTGGTATAAGTGTACAAAGGCACGAGGACAAAAATATAAAGGCACAAGCCCAGAACAATACAAGGCAAAACCCAAAGCCGAAGCTGGCCGAAAGAGATGGCCCAAGCCCATCCCAAACAGTTGCTCAAAGACAATGATAGTCTAAAAAACCCTAGACTAAGCTTGTCTAAGCCAACCAAACACTCCGGTTGCAAAGCAGAGGCGAAGCAAAGCGCCACGCCTCCTAGGTTCAGTCCGGCGGCTCCGCCGAAGGTCTGATGAAGGCTTGGGGGAGGTCCTAGTCAATAACCAGTCTCCGAGCCATTCGAGAATCCTTTAACTACATAGAGAGCAGGCGTTGTTTTACCATGTCTAGGCACAGACTTAGCATAGGACCAGTGGGGGCATCCAACCCCACTGGATTTTTTATATTTTCATTTTAGACCCTAATTTTTTTAAAATTTATAAAGATGCCCCCACTAAAATTATAATTCGCCCCACTGAATTTTTTAATTTTTTTTATATTTTATATTTTAAAATTTTTAGAATTTATGAAAATGCCCCCACTAAAATTACAATTTGCCCTATTGAATTATTATTTTTTTTGCATTTTATATTTTAAATTTTTAAAAATTTATGAAGAAAACCATATTGAAATTATAAAAATAGACCCACCATATAAATTTACCCCACAAATTAAAAGGTCGCCCCTCTCACAAAATTTTTTGAGTCCGTCATTGACCATGTCCATCGTTTAATTAAGGATTAATGATTGTGATTTCCTCTGTCCTTTGAAAGCTCGATTGTTCTGCTCGATCCAGATCCGATTGATGAAAGTGGAGAGAACAAGTTTGCTGATTGTGTTTTGAAGATTCCTCTTCCTCCAACGGTGCGACTCCCAAATGCTGAAATCATCCCAAGATGAAGAAATAACCTGAAATCTTTACTTTGACTTGAAGAAGCTCCAAATTGGTGAAGTAAAATAGTAGGTGATCGTGGGATTCCGCAGTTGATTGACAAAGATGGCACAATCTAGGGCCAGGTACTGATTGCATACAATTTCAATCAAGAGTTGATAAGCGACCCTGCACAGCATACCCCAGAGAGAATTTGCATCGTGGAATGGAAAAATTGTTCCAAATCAGGTGGTGCCAAATTGTGGGCTGGTAAGGAGGGGTAACCTAGTCTACTGTATGTCTGAGAGAGAAAGCTCGATCCTGTGATGGAATCCACATGACTTTATCAGAGGAGGCGGATGTTGGATCAATCAATAGGAGTTTAGGAAACTGTAGGGTGCACTCAACAGGGAAGCTCTAGTTGCCGTTAGTGATAAAAGTAAAGAGTTTTTAGCCCAAAGTAATTGGTGAGTCCCTGATAAAATCAATCGTGGTGCAAAGGTTAAGGGGCTAATAGGTAGCCACTTATCCTCCCAAAAATTAGTTAAAACCTCATCTCAAACCTTCATCCGGATCATAGACCTAACCACACCTCTTAAGTGCAATAACTTCCTCCAGTTGCCTGAACAAGCCTATCGGATGCTCAAAGTCCATATACTTCGATCCCTAATAAGTTATGCTCCTACCCACCTAGCCCAAATGTTGTCTCTACACATAGAAATCACATTCCAAAGATGCTTTAGGCAAGCAACAGTGTTAGCAACCTCCAAGCTTCGAAACCCAAACCCTCCACAAACTTTAAGCCTGCAAACATTAGCCCACGTAACCCTGGCACCTGTGTGCTTGAGTTTATTCCCCGACCATAAGAAATTTCGCAGTAGTCTGTTGACTTCATTTAGGACCAATTTAGGAAGTATGACTAGCCTAATCCAGTAGTTTGTCACGATAAATAGAACTGATTGTATGAGTTGGATTCGGCCCGCATAGGATAGAAGACTTGATGACCAGTGAGTGATCCACCTATAATGAACATCCTTAAGTGACTTTAAGATAAGAGGGACTTCCAAATACTTTATATATTGGAAAATCCCCAAGGTCGAACCCCAATAAGATCACAATGTCATTGGAAAAATCAAAGCTAACTCCAAAGACAAAGAAGTTATTTTTGGAGTGATTAATGCAAAGCCCAGAAAGTGTAGAGAAATGATCAACTAACCTCTTGAGGGTGACAACGGAGGCTAAGTCACCATAAGAGAAGAGTAAGAGATCATCAGCGAATATTAGGCAAGAAATAGCCAAACCTCTATATTTGGAGTGGTATTTGAAATAGGAAGTATCATTGATGTACTTCTTTGTAATGGAGGTAAAGACCTCCATAACAATTACAATGAAGAGAGGAGAGATAGGGTCTCCTTGTCTCAACCCTCTAACTCAACAGAAATACCCATGAAAATCACCATTTATGGATATGGTGAATGAGGGGAAAGTAATACAGGCCCTAACCCAGTCCACAAAAATAAGGGGAAAACCAAATAGAATCAATGAGTCAATAAGGAACTCCCACCCAGTAGTGTCAAATGCCTTCATCAAGTCCACCTTGATAACATATCTAGGAGGAACAAGATGTATATGATACCCCTGGAAAAGCTCTTGAGCCAAAAGAACATTGTCTCCTATATGTCTGCCTTTAACAAATGCATTCTAACATGGGTCAATTATTGAGGGAAGAGCCTACTTAAGTCGATTAACAAGAAGCTTTGTTGTGATACCCCTCGGATCCGAGACACGGTTTGATCAGGCCCAGGACCAAACCCGAGGGAATATCAAATAATTAATATTTAAAACAAATACAGATTACAAAATGAATTGAGTATAAATAATAAAAGCTGAAAGATCTCTAAATAAAAACCTCAGATAATAAATATTAATAAAATCCAAATCCTTTCCAAAACCTCCATCAGTTTAAACAACTCGGGAATCCATCTGTAGTGGACCCATAATAACAATCCAACTGAAATATAAATAATTGAAAGAAAATCCAGAATTAAGCTATGGAAAGAAGTCCTACGTCGTCGGAATAGTGAGTAGTAGTCTCTGCTCAGCACGAACAAGTCTAAGTCTGGAACTGATGAGTACCTGAAAAATAGAAGTGGGTCAGGCCCACGAACAAGTTCTATCCTACTACAATCCAAGTAGAGACTCGATACGTATAAACATTCTAACCAACTCAACAATAGCTAATAGTCCGTACATAACTATATCCACACTACGGGACTCTCACTAAACTATGAAGAGGGTCTCAACCTGAATAGAAGGCAACATGCAAAACGCACCTAAGTAGGCATGAGCACCTAAGCCTAACAGGGTATACATCAACCAACATAGCCAGTTACGTATCCTACTGCATATACACTCCCTAACCGTCGACACTGAGTCTTAAGCTCATGCCACGGTACCATAAATATATATTTAAAGTCCTATCCTATCTATCTATAAGAAATCCAGTTAGTCGTTCAGCTTTTTAACTGTACAGACTAAACATCCAGAGGAAATCCAGTTAGTCGTTTAGCTTGTTCAACGGCACAGACTAAATATAAGTAGGATTCTATATTTATAATCCATTCACTTATTCCATATAGGTAGGATATAGTATTTTGAAACTAATCCGTCCCTAGTATGCCACCGTCCTATACCGGTGCATACAATCCATCTATCCAGCAGTTGATAAAACAAATAATGAATGCAAATACCAATTAATCCACAGAATCCATATAACTGACAGAACATGGATAAATGTTTACATCAATTAATTCCATAGCAAGCATAGTAACATTGGCCAATTATCATGCTTATATTTTCAGTCCAATAATTGATGCAACAAATGCTGAAATTTAAACATCAATTTAATCCTTAACAAGCATAACAAAAATATAAGATTTGACATGCTTATTTTTCCATTGATACATGATTTGAAACATATAATCACTAACAGAAAATTGCTAAAATAAATCCAAGCAATATGCATAAATTGTTAAGAAATTGTTTTATAACTCCATATTGTCCAATTCCATAAGTATATGAAATGTGTTATGCATTCTAGAACCTTCCAAAGTCCATTTAACCCATTTAAATTAATTAAAATAGGTTTACAAATAATTCTGGGCAATTAAAACCAACATCCAAGTCGCGGTCCAACTGAGCAGGCTGAGTTCCCAACTTAGTCGGCTAAGTTGGTGCTGAAGTCGTCTTCTTTGTCTGTTTAGCCTCTGTAAACCCTAAGACTCTATAGTTAAGGCCTCTAAGCTTCAACCTAAGTCCCATACGTCCATACTAAATTATTTTAAGTGTTTTAGTAGGCAAAGATTCAACTTAAACAACAGTTCATGCATAAAAATCTAAGAATAAGAAATCACGCACAAGCATATATAATCATGAAACTCTCTATTTTAGTCTGATTAAACACGCATGATTAATCCGTTTTAATTGTTTAAGTCTCCTGGAATATCCTAGGCATGTATAGAAACATATACTGATTTAATTACATCTGACATGCAAACCAGATTAACATTTATATTTCTTTACTC